TAGGAGTCTCAACACTATATCCAGAATAAGTACAATGAAAGTAATGATAGGGAATGATATGAAAATCAGATTGACACCCCCATCACGGCAGAATAATTTGTAAACACTCGGAGAGATCCTCCAGCCCAAGTAGCGGAATTAATTAGAGCAAGATCTGAAAAATATGTCCAATAAGTTCCTCCTGTCACCCTACATGCTTGACAACCTACAATGACCAACATTGCCATAAACACAGTAGCTGGTGTCATAGGGGCCCCTTGACTCTCAACCACATTTTGAGCTTCAATTGTCAACTTTTTTTTAAAAAAGAATTTCTTTTTTAGTTGTTGGTGGACCCAATACCTTTATTTTGTTCATTTACTTTTTATTTTTTGCTGAGGATCCAACCCAGGGCCTCGCACAAGCTAGGCGAGTGCTCCACTACAGAGCCACAACCCCAGCCCAGTCATCAACTTCCCCATCTGATCCCAAGTTGGGGGATTTGCACTTAGAGTGCCTTTTGCTGGTTACTTATTTCTCTGTTTTTTCTTTTCTTCTGAGATTTTGGAGGCAGCTGTTGTTGTAGTCCCACTGTTTCTGGAGCCATCCTCAATCTTTTGAACTGGGGGTCCAGTCTGGCTATTAGATCCATGTTGATGATGCACTGCTCTCTCAGGTATCCAAATCTGCTTCTCAGCACCTTCTGGAAAAATAAAAGCATAACCTCTTCCCTACATCATTACTGGATCTGGCTCATTCCATGATCCTGACTGTAAATCTATCTGCCATACCATTCCTGCTGAACAAACTAGAGACTTGATAGCTCTCAGCTGCAGTGTGACCCTCCTCATCACAGTTTAAGAAATTTAAGCCAGCATACACTGCTGGTGGGACTGCAAATTGGTGCGACCACTATGGAAAACAGTATGGAGATACCTCAGAAAACTTGGAATGGAACCACCATTTGACTTAGCTGTCTCACTCCTCAGTTTATACTCAAAGGACTTAAAATCAGCATACTACAGTGATGAAGCCACATCAATGTTTATAGCAGCTAATCACAATAACTAAACTATAACCAACCTAGATGCCCTTCAACCCAATGAATGGATAAAAAAAATGTGGTACATATACACAATGGAATATTACTCAGCCTTAAAGAAGAATGAAATTATGGCATTTGCAGGTAAATAGATGGAACAAGAGAATGGCATGCTAAGTTAAATAAGCCAATCACCCAAAAATCAAAAGCTAAATGTTTTCTCTAATGTGGGTGTCGGGGTAGGAAAGAATGAAGGAACTTTGTTTGTATAGAGGGGAGTGAG